AGGCTGGCTTTAAGCTTGCAATCCTCCTGCCTTAGTCTCCTAAACCTCTGGGATTACAGGTATGTGCCACAGTGCCCAGCCTATTGCAAACTCTTTCAGTTTATTCCTTTGCTACTCTGACATGATTCAAGGTAGGTTTATTTATTTTTCATCACTTCCTAAATTTCTTGCATTATAAGATGTCTAGACTCATCTTTTATATTTCTTGCCCCAGTCCTAATATTGGCCATTTCTCCAAGAAGTTCTAGTTTTTTTCTTTCTTTCTTTCTTTTTTTTTTTTTTTTTTGAGAATGGCATTAGACATCAAGATCTGATTATTAGGCATACTCATTTCTACTGGAGTGAAGTTGCTTCTAGGTCTTCTCAGCTGACTGAGCCAAGCTGCAAAACCTTGTATATATATGTATCTATAAATATTTGTATATATAGCCGTGCATAACTATATTAGGCCAAACATGAGTTTATGTGGATGAATTCAACACTAATTCATTACAAATGAATTATATTAGTCTTATTCCCGTGCTTATCTGTACATTTCACCTTGAAGATCACTTTGATTTTAAAAGTATGAAAATCAAATTAATAATTTTGTTACCCCTGAGAAACTCTTTCAGTTGATTCCTGTGCTCCTTAAAAAGCCATATTCTACAGCAGAATAATTCCTCAGTGGTTTATATCACTGAAGTTCATTTTATGGCTAGCAGCAGTTTTTAACATCAGTAGACCTCCACACTTCTGATTCTGACAAATTGTAGTAGCCCCATTTTTCTCAGGTGTTTGGACTTACAATTAAAGTGCTAAGCTTAATGTAAGGATATAAAAAATAAAAAAGCATCAACAGCAAGCATAGGAAACACTGTAAGGTGTAAATTACTAAAGACCTTGGGACTTGAAGAATGACATGGCAATGATATCTTTTTTCTTGTTACCTCCTAAATGTCCCAGACCATGACCACCAACAGATTAAAAAAAAATCCAAGATAAAAACATTTCTCCAAGAAAAAGTATAAGGAAAGGGGAAAACCAATTTGGCAATACATGCAATACTACTCCAGCCAAACACTAATGGAAAATTGCATTGCACCCATCCTCTATGCTTTAATTTAAGTAAGACCAAGTAAGGAGTTGATTTTCCACACCATCCCACTTCTGTCCTCCAAAAGCAGGTAGTATTCCAATTTCACTTGCCAGAGTTCTTTCAGTGTGGTCCAGTGGTGAGCTAAAGCCTCCAGTCTTATGCATGAAGGTCACCTAAAGAGGTGGTACCAGACAGGGCTAACATTATGTCCCCACCCAGTCTTGGAGGCTTAGTTTATCATGGATAATGAGATATGGAAAGTTAGAGTTAATATCTGGTGTCAGTGGTACTCAATGGAGCTCTGAGCTGCTACCTATACCCGGCATCAACAAGATGGAATGGTATGAAAGACACCTGTTGATGATTCACTTTTCCTTCCTCTGGTGTCAGAGAGCACATTAAGAAACCGCTCCTACTCCCACTTAGGCAACAAGTTTTGTTTTTACTTTCTTTGGGAAGATATCAACAAGGTTAATTGGAGAACTAAACTTTTCTCCCATCTGTCTGCAGTAAGTCAGTGTGAGTCTGTGACACACTTTTCCTGGGGTGGAGTCAGTAGGGCCCACTGAAAAGCTGTACAATACATTCACATTACACCTCAATATAGAGACACTTCCTGCTAAGAAAGTAATAATAATAAAATAAGACTCAGAGTTATATAATACTCAATGTTCTAAATGAAATTGAAAATCACTCATCATACCTAAACCCCCCAAATCACAAAGTGAATAAAAAAAGCAATAAGCATACACCAACACTAACTAAATCAGATGTTGGAATGTTCTGACAAAGAATTAAAAATGTTTCAACAAGCAATTACATATTTTTTGAAATACATGAAAAAATGTAAGCAAAGAAATAGAGGTTATAAAAGTAATGGAAATTATTGAATTAAAAATAAATTAAACAAAAAATCAAAATAATCTTTCATTGGAAAGGCTCAAGAGTAAAGTGTTTATAATGAAAACCTGAGAACAGATCAATAGAATTTATCAAATATGAAAAACAGAGACAATTAAACTTAGTAGGGGATAAGTTAGGATCTCAGGAACCTGTGGAACAATTAAAGGTGGTAATATTTGCATCATCAATATTTCAAAATGAAAAGAAAGGGAAAGTGAGCTAAAAAAGCATTTGAAGAAATATTGACTAACAAGTTCCAGTATTTAGCAAAAAACATAAAACCTATAGATTCAACAACCTGAGCAAACCCCAAATAGGATATATACACAGATATCTATGCCACTATGTATAACTGAATTTCTGAAGAATAAAGACAAAGAAAACATCTAAATATCAGACAGAAAGAAATAATTAATTAATTATAGAGAAAACTCCAATTCAAATGATGTTAGAAATCTGATCTGAAATAATGGGGGTCAGAAATGTTGGCATAATATTTTTCTAATATTGAAAGAAAAGAATTGTCAGTCATGAATTTCATGATGTATTTTCTCATTTGACTTATGTTAATGGGCTAATCATTCTGAATCCAGTATTGCAACCACTCTTCTCCAATAATTCAGCCATGGTATTTCCAAAGTGATATTTTTAAAGCAGACAAAAATCTTTAACCCATCCTGATTTTATTATGCAAATAAAATTTTCTCTCTTCTAACTTCCAATGACAGCTAAAATCAATCAATCACTGCCCATCTTCCCAAGGATTAAATCCCACATCTTTATCATACATATATGACCATTCATTATCTGGCTGCTACCATCCTATCCACTGTCTTTGCTCTTTACACACCTCTTTGAGCACTCCCCCTCCCCCAGCACTGGGGATAGAACCAAGGACCTTGCACATACTAAGTGCTTTAATACTGAACTACATCCCAGACATCTGCATACTTTTTATACTGGTTGTATACAAGAATCCTTTCTGTTCTGTGCCTAATCGTTCTTTTTCTTGCCATTGTAAATTTTTCTTCTTTTTATCTCAAAAACTCACCCCTCCTTCCTATTACATATCCAACTCCACTACTGCCTTCTAAAGGACCTGTTATTATTCATTATTTACTACTGGCTTACAGTAAATTAGTGAATTAAAATTCTGTGTCTTCCCTGTAAAAAAACTGTAGAATTCTGTGTCTTCCCTGTGTAGAATTCTGTGTCTTTCTTGTAGAAACTCTGTACTAGTTTGTACTATAATTATGGATTTACTTATCTGGGTGCTCCAACAGAATGAATTCTAGATGGTAAAATAATGATTATAATAGGAGTATCTAGCTTAATTCCTGACAGACATTAGAAGTTCATTAAATGTATGTTGATAACTGTGTGAATGAATGGTCAACTTGAAATTTTAATTGCTTCTCTTTCTTCACTAGGATTCTATCAAACATAATGACAGTTTTCCACTAATTCAGAGATTAAGGTTTTTCATTTGGAATTAGACGACAATCACTACTGCCATCCACCATATCCAGTGCTGTCAGTGCCCCATCCATATTGCCCAGCACTCATCAATTCAGTATATAGTGATAGAATGATATTACCTGAAATTATTTATGTTGGGGCAGATCAGAATGTTCATGAGTTCATGTATCTGTGTGTAGCTTTCAACCAATTAAAAGGGATTTGAGATGTAGGCATATCAGACATTGATTGGGATAACTCTAAGGCATGTACCACAGAGTTTCACTGAACTCCTTGGAAGAACTAACAGTTACTGACAGGAATAACCTGCTCACTAACATGACTACTGTTTTTCTTCCATGCCTCTATTCTCAATTATCATTCTATTCCTGAGTTTCCTGGGACTACTTCCCAGATCAAATTTTGCATTCAAATTCTTATCATAAGTTCTGTTTCTGGGGAACTCAACCTAAGATAATCACAAACTATTTCTTTTTTTTTCTTAATTTTTTTTATTGGTTGTTCACAACATTACAAAGCTCTTGACATATCATATTTCATACATTAGATTGAAGTGGGTTATGAACTCCCAATTTTACCCCAAATGCAGATTGCAGAATCATTTCGGTTATACATCCACAATTACTAATTGGGCATTATGTAAAATTGTGGATGTATAACCACAAACTATTTCTTGCCTCCTAACAATACACTGCTTCTTTCATACCATGGTACAGGTCCCAAGGCATGGCTCAATTTATGTTGCTCCTCCTAGATCCTAATATATTCAAACAGATGGAAGAAAACATGGCCTTATAAAGAGGAATAATTTATAAGAGAATGACTTGTGGGTGCAGAGAGGGAAAGATAGTGTGTTCCATTATCGATGAAATTTATGGGCAGATGGTCTATAACAGGTGTGACTACAATTTGAGAAGATTCTCCCTTATTCACATGGGAAACTTCTATTGTTATTTTGGAATCCCAATCTCAGGACTTTATTTCTCTTTTCCTTTTACCCTACTATCCAGCTTTCTAAATCACTGAGTAGGATCAACAAATTTATTCTCTCCTCACCACACTATCACACAAAGGGCTACACATATGTGTGTGTGTGCATACACACAAACACACACACACACACACACACTTTTGTGTATGGCAGAGCTTAAAAACCATTAAAGGTGTCTGTGACATATTTTCAACAAATTTCTATGTTTATTTTAAGAAATTTAAGTTTAGTCAAATTAATTTCCTAGAAATCTAAGAGAAGACTCACGAAAAGAAGTCTAGGTGAAGATTGAAGGAAATAAATGAGTTTTGTTATTTAACAAAGGATAATTTTTCTATTAGGAAGTCTTTGCTTGTCTTGAAGACCCAAAATGCATACTATACTTTTGTCATTTGTTGCTTTATGAGTACTTGAATTTATAAATCATGCATCTCTTTAAAGTTATTCTACTGTTAGTGAAAGGTGTACTTTTAACAATTACTTAAAACTGTTAAAAGCAAAATCTGCATATATAGATAATTTCCCTTTCCCTTGCTGTCTCCATTTCAGTTGCCTGATTTTCTGGAAGGACTGGTTTCCCCAAAGAAGCAATATCTGGTAGAAGTTCAAAGGTCATCTCTAAAAAACAAAAAAGAAGAAGAATCAATGAATTAAAGACAAGAACGTTTCCAATCAGGTAGGAACACTGAAACTCATAAATTCAGTCATCTTAAATTGTGTGCTGATAGCTATTTGTATATCTAATCTGCCCTATAAAGAACTTGCTCACAATTCCCTTGGAGACAGAGGTGTTTATCAGAGAGTACCTTAGAGAAAAGGGAAGACAATAACAGCATGATTTTTTTTTTCCATTTTTAGCTTGATGTTACTAAGTACACATAGTGATACCGTGTCTGTGGACTAATCCCAGGAGTTTATGCATGTGAAACAACAGATTAACCCTTGGTATTTTCTCCTAAGAGAAATAATTTTCATAGGTTGTCAACATGATCCTTTAGTTGCTTATCAAAATTAAGGGCCATAATGGCATCAAGTCTTCTAAGTGAGGAACAGTCCCACTCAATGGTGTGAGAAAATTGGCTTTATTCTTGTTGAGGTCCATCTTGCCTTGGTCTATGTTCAAGTGAGTGCACATAGGGAAATGGAAGGGAGAAGAATGAGACATATAAAAGAGGAACTCTGTTGTATTTACCCATGCTTTTCGGAGTCTGACAATTTTATTTTCATTTTTCATTTGCAATTTGAGATTAAAATTATAGCAAAGGGCCTTCCCTTTTTATGACAAAACAAAAGACAGTAGTGACATCAAAATCAGGTCTAGTTTTTCTCATTTTTAATTAGGTAGTCAATATTTAGCATAGCACTTGACCTCTAGTAAGTACTCAAAACAAGGACATGTTGAAATGGATGAATGGAAAAAGTTAACAAGGTAGAAAAGGCACCTGCCCTGTGTGTTGACTTTAGTCTCAGGACTCAGCACTGTAATGGCACATGAAATACAAGCAGAAAATGGGCTGAACAAATGAATGTATCATCCTAATTCTAGGGATATTTATAAGACAAACATAGACTCCATATTTACCAAGATCCATGGCAGAAATATCCATGACATCAATGCTTGTATCTCAGACTACTGATGAAGCTGAAAATGTATTTGGTTTTCTGATTGATTTTTAATAATTTTATATAACATTCTTTACATGTAGGCATAACACCTACATTATAATCTATCAAATGATGTGGATATATATAAAAAATTCCCTTGATAAGCATCTAAATCATATGATTTGCCAACATGTTTTTCAAGCATTTTTATGATATGATTAAGGGCAATTTCAGAATCACTAGCTTCTAAAATTCTTATTTTTATATGGAGTACAGCTGTTTTGCTGTAACAGCTATTTCTCTTTAAACTTCTGTTTCTATCTTCTGCAGTTCAAATGGAAAATAAAAATTATTTAACTAAAGAAAGAAATATAAATTTAGCATAATTCAGTTACAACAAAACTATTTTGTAAAATTATAGAGAATATATTCTATTCCTCTATTTATCTTATTTCTTTTTTACTCTCATTCTTTTTTAAATATAGTAAATTAAGCCTTTTTAGCTATATATGATATGAATAATTTATCTCAGATTATACTTGTCTTCTCAGTTTTAATATTATCTTGGAAGAAATAGCAGCTATCAATTTTTATGAGATCTAAGTTTTCTTTTTAGTTTGTGCCTTTCCATCTTACTTAAATGTCCTTTTCTGCCTTAATGTTATAAAGATATCATTGTAAATTTTTTCCTAGAAGTTCTAGTGTATTTTTTTAGTCGAGATATTAATTTATCAAGAATTGATTTGTATAAATAAATGAGTGAAAGGAAGACAAGTAGAGTAGTAGAAGGAGAATAGGAGGAGTGAGGAAGGAAGGGAAAGAGGGCGAACTGGAGTGAAATGGAGTAAATTAAATTTCATGCATGATTTTGTCAAAATGAACCCGACTATTATGTACAACTACAATGCACTAATAAAAAAAATAAAATAAAAGTCAACATTTCCTCTTGATTATGCAAAATAAAACTTCCTTTTTTGCTGATATTTATTAATTAGAAATATTTCATTGGGTATGAGTAATTAGTAAAACAAATTATTATTACAGATAAGGCGAAAGACAATAAAAGAAATTGATTTGTGGGCCTGGGTTGTGGCTCAGTGGTAGAGCGTTCGCCTAGCAAATGTGAAGTGCTGGGTTCGATCTGACTCAGCACCATGTAAAAATAAATAAAATAAAAGAAAGGTATTGTGTCCAACTACAACTAAAAAAATATTTAAAAAGAAATTGATTTGTAGATGTGATCCGATTTTATGCATAATTAATTTTCCCAGGATCACTTATTAAATAGTCTGTCTTTATTCCAGTAATCTTTAATGATCTCTCTGAATTTTCAAGTTTCCAAATATGTTATGATCCATCTATGGGGCTCCTTATTCTGTTTCATGAGTTTATTTGACTACTTTGAAACAATACTACATTATCTTTACTTAATGTAGCTTTATAATAATTTTTATATTTGATGAGCAAATCCTTCTACATTAATATCCTTTAAGACTACTTAGGCTATTCTTGGTCATTTGACCATTTATATAAATTTCAGAATTAACAGTTCCACAAAACCTATGTTAAATATTTTGACTGAAGTTGTACTTAATGTGCACATAAAATTAGAAAGAGTTTCCATCATTATAGTGAGTCTTTCTATCCAGAAACAAGGTTTTTCTCCACACTTATTTTAGTTCCTTATTTCTATCTTTTAGTACAGTTTGGTAGTTTCTCCAAAAACGTCTTACATATCTTTATTTAGATTTATTCCTGAGTAACTTTTTGTTTAACTGTAAATAACTTTTAAGCTCTTTCTGTATTGTTCCTCTGTAGAAACACAATAATATTTTTCATCTTAAACTTATATCCAGCACTCTGACTACTCTTACTTACTGATAAGAATAGATTTTTCTCAACAAGAGGATAAAAATGTAAGTGAGTTTTTAAAATCCTAAATGAGAGCTCTGTTTAGTAGAACTTTCTCTAATAATGGAAGTGTTCTCAATGCTGTCCTACACTATAACCCTAAGCTTTGTAGGTTTTTGTTGTTGTTATTATCATTTAAATGTAATTTCAATAAAATTCAGCAAAATTAAAATTTCAGTTCCTGAATAAACTAGCCCATATCTTAAATATCCAATAGCCACATGAGGGTAATAGACACTATACCGGACCCCATAATTCTATATTGTTAAGCCAAGAGTCTGAAGTTGCCGGATTTTTGTCTTCAGCACTAGCACAGTGAAAGCTATCTTTTATGTAACAGTTATTCCAGCATTAAAAAGAAAATTTACTTAAACTGATCATCCCTAACTTTTTCAAGTATTCTAACATAGCTTTCACCATTAATGGATTTTAAAAACATGCTTATTTTTCACCTAAACTACTATTGAAATAAGTTTTCACTTTGTAATAAAGTTCATTGTCCTAAAATGGCACATACCAAAGTGTCAAGAGGTCCCTATATGCCTGATGTGCTGTGACTGGATGAAGACATCTTTGTTACCTTGCTTTCTATGGATGTTACTCTGTATCTATCTTCATATTCTAAATTCATATTCAAAATTACCTACTGTTTACATGATGGCTGTCTTTGTTTCCTTAAGCTAGTATCATCACTTTATAAGTACAATTTTAATTATTTTCTCCTAAAATCTCATATTTGTCAATGTGGAAATAGATCAGTTTTATTTTTGCTCTCTTATTAAGTTCTTACTATAATTTAATTTTCATGAGCTCTATTTCCCCTAACTTTAATCATTTAGCATTTAGAAAACAATCAATATCACTGGTAAGCCCTTTCTTCCATTAATCTTATGAAGGATGGAAAGATGTTTCAAACATTGTGCCAGAGTAAGACATTCTACTTGATTAAAAATAAAAGAAGAAGAAAAGAAAAAATAAAAAATAAAAGATAGTTTCATGTGTGTGTGGACAAAAAAGGAGTATAAGTAACTATAATTTTTTTGTTAGCAATTGCAGTGAAATCAAATATACTATGAAGGGATCAACCCCTTTGTATCATTGAGAGTTTAAAATGAAACATTGTGAACTTTGGAAAATAAAGGCCATTGTGTTGCTGTAAGGTTTTTACCTCATTAGTCTTTTAAAAAAACATATATATACATACATATATATAGTGTTCCCTTAATCTTATGAATCGTGAAGCTATAGTACCGTAAAATGTTTACGGTTTGAAGGCATTCTATAATATTATGTCCTAATAATAGGGCCCAGAGAAGTAAAGTGTTGCCCAAGGTTAAGGTCACACAGAAAGTTAGTCCTTTTGAGTATATGACTTAGGAACACTGTATGCACTATAAATGTACAATACATATGTAAACTCCATATGTAAAATCCCTGTGTAAACTCCATGTGAAAAATCCATGTGTAAATGTACAATCATTGAAAATAATTTTTGTAGTATTTTCTCCATCTTCAGAGATTATTGAGATACAGGATGCTCAGGTACTTTACTTTCACAGGTGAATGACTCTTAAGTCTGAAGCTAAGAAGTATCTAAATTTCTTATGTAGCTGGTGCTGCCACACTTACAATTTTGTACATAAGATTTATAAATTGTACAATATAAAATGATAATATTTAAAAAGGGATACTCAATAGTAGTCTTTTGTGGGAAAAGAAAAAAGAGAAACCATAATCATTATCCAGAAAACCAGAGTTTTAGCCTTTACCTATAAAATTGTCACTTGTAATACCATGACAAGGAAGGCTAAGGTGGGAAAATCACAAGTTCAAGGCCAGCCTCAGCAATTTAGTAAGACCCTGTCTCAGTTTAAAAAATGGATGGTGAATGTGGCTGGGAATGTGACTCAGTGCTTTATGTTCAATTCCTAGTATCAAAAAATAAACAAACAAACAAAGACTATGTGAATTCAAGCAAGTAATTTTATAAGTAAGCTCAATTATACTTCTAAAATGGGTAAAATCATTTTAAAAATTGTTTGAAATATGACAAGTTTCAAACCTGTAAAGATTTGAAATATGCTTTAAAAAATCTATGGAGAACCAGGCATTTCCCTTTTTTCCCCATAACTTGATATAATCATTCATCTTCATTTACCA